GGGAAATTCCCTCAGAGGTTCGATGTTCTGTCCGTTTCTTACTGGTGTTATAGACGATGCTGTGAAACGTGGAGCCAGGAGGGTTTTATTAAGACAAACCTGGGAAATTGATTTAAAAGTGAAAAAGAAGAAACCTATATCATTATCAATGTTGGCAATATTGCAATTATAAAAACTGATTTAGATATGATTTCTATTAGGTGGAACGATTAGGCTTAAAAATAAAATCTCTCTTTTTTTTTGTACCAGATATGATTTTAATAGTTTTTTTTAAATTATTTCCAGATTTCTTTTCTGAAAAAGAAATTGAAGAAAATATTTTCTAAAAGTGGATTTTATATCAATCAGCCCTTTGAATTGCAGAATTCAGAATATTAGCAGAAAAAAGGCACAATTTTACCATAAAAAATCTTAAAATGATGAGAAAATTTGTTTTAATGAGAAAAAAGCTCATTAGTTATCTGTGTTATAATAATTTGATGCAGATAAGTTAAAGTAATTCCTGTAAACCTTTGACCAACATTTCTCATTTTAGTTTTTTATTATTTTTCATGTTGGAGTAAAAATACGACTTTGGTTCTCGTAATTAAGTGAAATTAAAAATTTGCTGTAGATTATAGATCTCAGCTAAGATCAGATTAAAGTTTAACAGAGCCGTTTTTAGTTAACCGTCTCCGTCTCCTGTCTCAGTGCCAGGAGCAGATCTCCCGCTCTCTGGCGGTCGCCCAGGCTCTGGCTGACGACGTCGACTTCCATGTTTTCTCCTTCCGAGAATTCGGCAAAGGAAAGATCAAGAAGTGCCGCGTCAGTCCTGATGCTTTTGTACAGATGGCTCTTCAGCTGGCTTACTTCAGGGTGAGTCCACACACACACACACACACACACACACACACACACACACACACACACACATCTAGGGATGCTATTGAGCCGTTTTGCTGTTAAATGCGTTCTGACTAAAACCAGGAAGATGGAGCACATCGCCCCTGTTCTCCCTGCAGCTCAGAGAAGAGACTTTAAAATACTGTAAACCATAAACCACTGAACGGCTCAAAATACATTAAGGATCTGCTGCTGTTGTATCCACCTTCCTGAGCTCTCAGGTCTTCTGGTTCTGGTCCAGAACCAAACTGGAGAAGCAGCATTCAGCTTCTATGCACCACAAATCTGGAACAGACGTCCAGAAAACTGTAAAACAGCTGAAACACTGAGTGCCTTTAAATCTAGACTGAAACCCCGGCTGTGAACTAGGCAACATTTTGATGTCTAACGACAGAATGTGGTAAAATGTAATGTTTCAGTTGTTGATTTTAGTGCTTTTATGATGTAAAGCACTCTGAACTGCCTTGTTGCTGAAATGTGCTTTACAAATAAACTTGATGGATTTAAATGAGAGCAAAGAAATCTGCAGAAGGAGCTTTGTGACCTGTTCCAGACTGATAAATGTCAGTGATTTTGTTTTTCACGTTCATCTTTCCTGATGGTTTTTTGCTCACTTCATGTTGTCAGACAGGTTCTGATTAAGGTTCTGGTTTGTTTCCCGGTCCAGGATCGAGGGACGTTCTGTTTGACGTACGAAGCGTCCATGACCCGCCTGTTCCGGGAGGGCAGGACGGAGACGGTTCGCTCCTGCTCCAGTGAGAGCAGCGCCTTCGTTCGAGCGCTAGAAGGCGGAGAGGTGAGGACGTCATGCTGCAGCTGGTAGTTTTCCTTGTAAACCAGTCTCTGTTGTTTTAACGCGTGTGATCAGCCAGCAGACGTGTGCCGGCGTTTGTTCCGCGCCGCGTCAGAAAAACACCAACAGTTGTACCGAATGGCGATGACCGGCGCCGGGATCGACCGGCACCTGTTCTGCCTCTACGTGGTTTCCAAATACCTCGGAGTGGACTCTCCCTTCTTGAAAGAGGTCTGGTTCAGTTTGAATCATTTCCTCCAGAAGGCTGCACCTGAGGCCAGGTCGACTGAAAACGGGTTTGTTTCAGGTTCTGTCTGTGCCGTGGAGGCTGTCGACGAGTCAGACTCCCGTCCAGCAGGCGGAGCTGTTCGACTTGGTCAACTACCCAGAGTACATCTCCTGTGGAGGCGGCTTTGGACCCGTCAGTATGGTCCTCAGTGCCTTAGAAACACAAAATACAATACAAAATAGAGATTAATCTCAGAAGTTATATAGGAAAAACGTGAATTTCTGAGTTTTAAAAGTCAAAAAGGTTTTATTTTTTTAATTTTTTCTTATTTCTGAAATTAATCTCAAAATTCTAGTTTTTTGGGAGACATTTTTTACTTTTCAAACTCATAAATCTCAGATTTTATTTCTGAAAATTTGTGAGAATAATCTCAAGATTTTATTTTTTTTACTTTTGAAATCCAGAAATCTTCTCTAGAACATGTTTTAGTTTCAAACTCTAAATTTGTGGCTTTTTATTGTTTTTTTGAACATTAAATCTCAAAATTTGTGAATTTTTTCGTTTCCTTTTGAAACTCAGAAATTTCTTACATTTTTTAAAATTCTACAAACAGTGTTTTATTTTGTGGTTATTAAACGTTTACCACTCGCTGCCTCGTTAATATTGTTTTTTCATCATCCTGAGTGTAAATGCGGTCCGTCTCTTTCAGGTGGCCGATGATGGTTATGGAGTTTCTTACATGTTTTTGGCAGAAAACATGATTAATTTCCACATCTCATGTAAACACTCGTGTTCTCAAACTGTGAGTTTATTTTTAAATTTATTTCATTCATTTAATTTAGTCAGTGCACTGGAAATACACAAAATCTTAGTAAGTATTTTTAGTTTAGTTTTTATTGCAAGTGTTTTAGTTTTGTCTTAATTTGAGTTTACTAACTTGCAAGGAAATTTTCAGCTTGTTTTTTTACAAATAGAGGATTTATTTTACGTTTAGTTTTTTTTTCTCTTCTCTCTAATGGAAATGTTTGATTGCCCCTGCAGGACGCTCATGTCTTCGGCAGTAAGATCAGGGCAGCCCTGCACGATCTGCTCCACCTGCTGGACCCCGTCTACAAGGAGCCCAACAAGGAGCGGAGCAAAGCCGAGGTCAAGAAAGACAAGTAGACGCAAAGGATGCTGGGAAAACCGTGTGGAAACACTGAGTTGTTCTTCACAGTGGGACCTGGAACGTCAGGTGGAGGATTCTCGTTTTTCTTGTTTAAATAGTTTCTTTGAATGGCGTAGAACGATGAAAATTATGTTTTTATCAACGCGGCTGTAACTTTGTGTGTGTGTGGAGAAAGAAAATGTGCACAACTAGTTTAACAAAATGAAGCTATAATATTTATCTTGATGTTTGGTCATTATAATTTAAAATAAAGAGCCAGTTTATCATCCAAACCCGTCCGGCGCTGGGACAGAAGGTCCTGAAGTCGCTCCACTGCAGGGAATAATCCGTTAGACTTTCCGTTGTGTGAAGTAGAGCCGCGGACTTTCTCCGGTTTGAGTGGGAAGTTTTGGTTTTAAGGTGAAAGGGAAAACGTCATTTTCTACCATGTCAAAGTGGGAGCCTTTGTTTTGAAAAGCTCAGAAGTCTGTGACTTCCTCCCTGTTTGTGTAAATCAGATTTTTATATAAACATATATAAAATCAGTAAATGATCTCGAGTGCCAGGTGGGTTATCCATGTTTCTATGACAGTTCTGTTTCATTTTCACTGCTGTTTTATTTTATTTTTATTTTTTTACATGTGTGTTAAATTAGTGCCATAACAATGCAAACTATATATTTCTGGGTCCGATGTGACATCAGCCAGCAGTGCTGCTCTCCAGATGTCCATCAGATGTTGAACATATTTCCAGGTTTCTGTTACTTGATGACCTTCTTTGTTTGTTTTTCACCTTTACACAAACCACTTTGTCTTATTGTTTTATTATTGCTATTGTAATGCTTTTTAATGCAACATTATAAGGGAACATTAAAACATTCTTAAGAAAAACCGAAAAGCTTTGAACTTCTTTCTGTTTGGATTCAGGATGTGCAGAAACACGGTAGAGGAAGCATCATGCTGATACTCGACGATGTCTCTTTCTGCTGGTCACTGAACTTCAGCTTAAAGCCGAAACGATTAATCATGATTAATCAATTATTTATTAATTATTAACTGGGATATAAAGGCTGACAAAACTGAAAAAATTCACATTTGCACTTAAAGTAAAAAAAATGTTGATATATTCTACCCAGATTGTATTGTTTTAGTTTCACTTTGTTCAAATTCTGTAAAATCACCAGTTTTAAAATAAAAATAGATTCAGTTTTCACAGGTTTATTAATGCAACATGTGCATAGCGTTTCCAAAATAAAAATTACATATACTAATTACTAATTACTCATTATATGAAGTTCATTTTTTGTCTCTAGGATGCAAACTATCTGCTTTTTCTTAACTTAATTGTATTTATATATATAAAATAAATGTCCCATTGAAAGATGTGTATTCAATTTTAAAACAAAACTGTATTTGTGTTGGTCAATTTAAGAAATCTAAACAAACTTCCTGTAATTGTGTTAAAGTTTTGTTTTAAAAGTAAAGTTGCAATGCGGCTCTAATTGCAAAAACACAAAACCAGACCAAGTCTGTTCCAAGTCTACTGCAAATATCTGAGTTTGTTTCCAGTGTACTAACTTGAAAGTAACTTTTATAGGAGATTGTTTAAGTGGATAATTGTTGAATATTGATTTATAAATTAAAAATGTCAACTTATGAGAAATTTGTCTTGTGATAATTGGGGGAAAAAATCTGTTTTTTTTTATTATATTAAAGAATATCGCCTTAAAACAATATCCTATGAATGAAAAGAAGTTTCTGGTAATTTATTGTATTATTCAGGAAGATCTTTGCACTAGAAACTAGACTTAATGACTTAATACTTGGCGTTATGTTTTTGCAGTGTAGTTTTATTCAGTTGGTAAAAATGGCTCTCGGGTTGTTGCTGGGTTTATTTATTTATTTATTTTTTTTGTGTATTTTCTCCTCCAGTCCCTCCAGACCTGAGTGGATCTCCAGCTCCGGTCTGGAGGGACTGAGCGCCGGCCAGACGGACCGGTCCGAGCGCCAGCCAGCTGTCTTTGTCTGTTATTACAGCAGTGAGGTCAGCCATCAACCCTCCTGCATCTCATGCCTCCAAAAGCCACCAGTGATCCACATCCCAGCCAACCTTTTCCAAATTAAGTGTTGGATTTACTCACAGTTACAAATAGTTTTGCGAGGACAAACGATTGGATGTTTCCATGTGGCTGATTATTGGGAGGCGAGACCCAGAAGTGAGTTGGAATAATTAGATTATCCACGACATTCCCAGAGGATTTCCCTTTATAAAGCCGCATCTTCAGCAGTTATTTGCTCATCTCATCGCCGCCATCCGTTTCCGTCCAGGTATGTCCTCTGACCACCTCCTGACTTTCTCCAGATACGATGGTTTATTTTACAACCCTTTATTTTTAAGATGAAATCGTTCTAGAATAGCAAACCAACCAGAGAGTTTTAAAATCTGTATCATGCATTTTTTAACCGTTAGAAACGCACTGCAAAAACTGAACATTTTTGGTCTAGTTTTTAGTTCAAATATTTTAGTAAATTTTAAATAAGACAAAACTAAGTAACAAGTAACTTTTCAGCAATAACTTTGAGCTTGTCAATAATTCCCTAATATTGATGAAAAAGTTTTGATTATTCATTTATAGCTAGTACTTTTTTCAACAGGATTATTGACTTAAACAATTGACAGCACATTTGAAACACAAAATTTTACCAAGTATTTTGTCGTGAAAATAAATTAGAACACTTGAAATAAAACAAAACTAACTTACAAGTGATCTTTCAGCAAAATATGAGCTTATTTTAAATGAATGATTCCTTAATATTGATTTAAAATCATACTAGATGTAAGTGAAATAATCTGCCAGTGAAACTAGATTTTTTTTTTAATCAATATTAAGGAATTATTTACTTAAGACAAGTTCATATTTAAGTGCATAAAATAAAAAATGGTGAGTGAGGAAAATAAAACATATTTTTGATGCATGAAGCTCCATGTCACTATGATGATCAATTGTCCCAGTAATTACTGTGATAAATGTTAATATTGTTGTGAGATCATCTTCAAATAATATGCCTACAGTGATTCACGCTCTCAACGTCTAATAAACTTTAATTTTGTAAAGAACATTTGGGAAAATGTCCAAAATTAAACACAAACAAAATTAGTAAAGAAAACAGAAATAAAAATAAACGTGTCTGAAAACAAAGTTGTCATTCAAAACATTCAGTCATCAGAATGGAAACATTTTATTAACTAATTAATTTCTTATTGTGAAAGGGTTAGCTGTGTTGATGGATCTGAATTAAGCATGACGATCGTCAGACTTGCAGGTTTATTTTTGGTGCCCTTGGACTCCCTGTCCATCCGTCCGTCCGTCCGTCCATCCGTCTGTCTGTCCTCCTTCAGACAGTTTAGTAACAATGTCATGAATTCCTCTCCAAATCCTCCACTGGCTCTCGACCCGTCGCTGTTCAGATCCACAATCTGAGAAATTAACTTTAAAATCTGACAACGAAAGGAACTGAAAGTCTGTTGATTTATTAAGACAGACGGTCTCAGGGGACAAATGTCTGTTTTGATTAGTTCATTTCTTCTAGTTTGATCAGCTCTGATGAGGTAACGGTTTATAGTCTAAGCTGCAGTTTGTTAAAGTTTCAGTTAATTGAGGCAGAGAATAGATGGGGTGACATCAGAGTATTTAGGTATAAATAGCAACCAGCCAAAATGCTTAATGTCTCCATCCCAGATTCTTTCTTCCAAATCAAATTAAAAGGACAGCTGGTGTCCGAGTCTTTCCCTGCAGGGTAACAACACTTTTCTGTCCTCTCGTCCCTCCAGCCTCGACTGTTTACATCTAGTTAAATACAGACGGCCTTTTTATTTATATGTTTTTACATTTAGTCAGACTAAACTTCCTATTTTCAGGTCTGGTAGGATTACCTAAGTTACTTCTGTTTGCTAATTGCCAAAATAATAAGAAAGAATTTAACAATAATGTTTTAACTTTCTCAAAATTATAAAGTTTACACATATTTTTTCTTTATATTTAGTTTACTTTTCTTTAAAAACAACTTTCCAAACTAAATCAGGAAAATATTCACACCTAATCCAAAAGTTTTATTAGACCAACGGCACAGGAATATTAATGTTGTCAATATTATAATTTCTCTTCCCACTAATAAATCTCAATTTATGACACTAAATAAAGCCATGGGACAGTTATAAAGCAGAAAGGAAATTTTTAAAATACCTTAGAGAAAATTAATTCACAGCATTTTAAGAAAATGGTTTTTGTTGTAATGAGTCAGAAGAACAGCATTTAAATGCACTTTTAACTTTCCTTGTAGATAAAGTTTAAATTCCTCCTGACAGAGCTAGTCTATGAAATGAAATAAAATATCAGCCTTATATAGCGCTTTATTAATTATATAATCTGCCAGTGAAACTAAAACTTTTTCATCCATATTAATAAATTATTGACTCAAACTCCTATTTCTTGCTAAAAAGTTACTTATAAGTTAATTTAGTCTTATTTTAAATGTACTGAGCTATTTGCACAAGTAACTATAAATACACTTAGTAATATTTTGTGTTTTTGCAGTGAACAGGATATTTACTAGAATCTGGAAAAACTGCAAATAGTGAAGAATTTTGGGAGGAAGGATCTGTGTTAACGCTCCTTTGTGCGCTCCAGATGCAGCAGTTTGTTACTCAAAGAGCTCTCAGCTTCTGAATGAAGCCTTTCTGCTGAATTTCATATTTCTGCTTTTCTCTCCAGAGTCACCATGTCTTTTCCAGAAGAACATGGGTGAGCCAATCAAATCCAGCATTCAGTATTTATATCACTACAGTCTGTTTTTAAAGGCCTGTCTGATATTATCTCTTATTTGCCTCTAGAGGCCATCAGGAGGGTAAGAATATTCACTCATTTTTTAAATAAATGTACATCTTTTCTCTCAGCTCTGTCTGACTGCTGCTGTGTTTTTCTGCAGATGATGAAGAGGAGCAGGGAGAGGGAGGTGAGCCTGGTGCTGTGAACAATCAGAGGGTTATTATTAAACTTTATAATACAGGAAACTCTACAGTACTAGGGCCACGAGAAAGAAAGGAAAATATTTGAATAAGAACAAATATAAGAATAAAGTCATAATATTACAACTTTATTCTCAGATTATTTAGACTTTATTCTTGTACAACTTCATTTTTGTAATGTTATGACTACTATATTTTCAAATGTTATTACTTTTTTGTCATTTTTTGTCTGTTAAATTATGTAAGGTGATCTTGAGTGTTGAGAAAGGCACCAACAATAAGATGTAATAGTATTATTACAACTATATTCTCATAACATTTTGACTTTATTCAAAAGTCATTACTTTTTTTCATAATACTATGACTTTGGTCTCACAATATGACGATCGTTAAATTTTTATTTTTATGTTTTCTTAGTGTGGCCCTAATTATGATTGCATGTTAGAAAACAAAAAAGTAAATTACTGCCAAAAAACTCAGAAATTTTAATCTGAGAAATTTTCTTTAAAAAACCCCCCAAAAAACAAGAACCTCCTAAAGTTGAAAATCTGCAAGAAAAAACTAAAAGTTTATGATTAAACTCAGAAATTTTCTAGAAACAAAAACAGGAAGTTTCTGAGCACCATAAGTTGAAATATTTTCACTTTTGAAAATTGTCTGTTTCAAAAGGGTGAAAATGTTTGACTTTTTGAACCTGGAAATTTCCATGTTTTTTTCTGAGTTAAATCTCAAAATTTCTGAATTTTTTGGTTGAAATTTACGCCTTTTTTTACTTAATGGTGAGTTTTATCAAAACAAACCCAACTCATTATTTCTGCTGCTGTTCTGGTGACCATGTCGAAGAAGAACGCCCCCGATACAAGTAAGTTAAATACTGTCCATGTTTACATGCAAATAACTAAAACATGAATATTTAATGCAAACACGTGTTAATATGTTGTAATATTTGCTCAGGCCATTGGTCACACAACTCGCAGCGCCAAAAATCCCAGAAGGAGAGAGGGTTGACTTTGACGTACGTTCCTTCAGCTGTAAGTTATAAGAAAAGCATCCAAATCACTCATAAGTGACCCTTTGTGTTCCTGCTGTCAGGATATCCACAGGAAGAGGATGGAGAAGGATCTGCTGGAGCTGCAAACTCTGATTGATGTTCACTTTGAGCAGAGGAAGAAGGAGGAAGAGGAGCTGGTTGGACTCAAAGACAGAATTGTAAAGTTCCTCTGGTTTTTCCCCCAAACAAAGATTCTGCATGACTGTTGTATGGAAGAACATTAGGGCCACTGAAAACACAAAAATATTACTTTTTTTTATTCAGAACTCAAACTTTAATCTCATAATTCTGACTTTTGTCTTAAAATTCTCACTTTTCCTCAAAATTCTGACTTTTTTAAATTTTGAATTTTTTCCTTAAAATTCTGACTTTTAATGTCAGAACTCAAACTTTTCTCAGAATTCTGCCTTTAATCTAAAAATTCAGACTTTTTTGTCAGAATTTTGAAAATGTTCTCAGAATCAAAATTGTTTACATTGTTTGTGCACCATGAGGCAAATTTAGTCTTAAAACTCAAATCTAACTAAAAAATTTGAGACGGTCTTTCAGTGTGAATAAATTGCAGGTTTACAAATCCTATAAAAAGGAAGAAAACCTTTGTGTAATTATTTTCATATGATAACAGAGAAACGGGCAAATACTTAAGGATATTTGGTTATATATTTGGATTTTGACACAGATTGATACAGAATTAGAATTCTGAAAAAACATCCAGATTTTTTATTTTATTTTATTTTTTTCCCCAGTGGCTCTAATCCTGTTCCATCCTGCTCTGACTGCATCATTCTGTGTTTTAACGTTTTAATGTAGGAGAGAAGGAGAGCAGAGAGAGCTGAGCAGCAGCGTGTGAGGGCTGAAAAAGAGCGAGACAGACAGACACGGATTGCAGTAATTATTCTAAAATTACAGGTATCATTTTAAAAATCTGCTCTGCAGAGCTCAATGTCTCAGATTAACTCTTTCAGGAAGAACGACAGAGGAAAGAGGATGAGGAGGCGAAGAAGAGAGCGGACGATGAGGCCAAGAAGAAGAAAGTGCTCTCCAACATGGGCGCTCATTTTGGAGGATTCCTTGCAAAGGTCGATGGGATTCTTTTTGTTTTTAGTGAAATAACAACTACAGCTCTAATAATTACAGCAACATTCAAAATTTATTGTCACAATTTGTTGTAATTTTCAAGATTATGGCTTTCAGATGACAAAATTCAGTTTCTCAGAAAACCAAAATATTGTGGAAAAGTAAAATATTGGAAACTCTTGGTGTCACATCTTTATCAGCTAATTAACACAAAACAGGAAAATTTAGTGGAAGGAAAAGTTTCCAAGAATGTTTGGATATAGCACTCTGAACTTTTTTAGCAATGACCTTTTGTGACTCAAGAGTATGAAATGAATCTATATCATGAGTTTCACTTTCTGACAAGAGTTTTCAGCGTGTTTTTTTTCTTCAAATATATTCAAACGCCTTCATTATATTTGCGTAGAAGTAACTTCAGCAAGCTGTAGAAGGTGTAAAACCTAATGAACACTCTTCTGATCAAAAACGTAAGTGACAATTTAAATAAGACTTACTTTTTAGGCATAGTTCATGAGCTCTCAACCATTACAGAAACTTAACATTAGCTTGACTAATCATCCCAGACCCGGTTCTGTAAGTAAAGCTTGTTTTTCCTGCAGGAAGAACAAAGAAGAGGCAAGAGACAAACGGCAAGAGAGATCAAGAAAAAGACTCTGGCAGAGAGACGGAAGCCGCTGAGTATTGAGAGCCTGGAGGAGGACGGCCTCAGGTGGTTCATTTTCAGCATTTCGTTTTTACTGTTTGCACAAAGTGAGTCTGGAAAATTCTGGAAATAATTTAAAAAGCCAATCAGATAATTGTCGGCTCAACTCCATGTGTTTCAGAGAGAGAGCCAAGGAGATGTGGGAATGGATCTATCAGCTGGAATCAGAGAAGTTTGACCTCACTGAGAAGATGAAGAAGCAGAAATATGAAGTAAATCTTCATCTAAGCACTGCAAAAACAAATATATCTTAGCAATTATTTTTGGTTTAGTTTATAGTGGAAATATCTTAGGACTTGAAATGAAACAAAATTAAATTAAAAGTACATTTTCGGTGGACAGAAGTTTGTTTTAAGTCAATAATTCCTTAATATTAAGATTATTCAGCTCACAACTAGATATTTCTCTTATGTTTTTTAAGTGTATTTTCACTAGAAACTGGACCAAAAATACTTTCTAAGTGTTTCTGTTTTTGCTGTGAGAAAATATAGTTTGTTTCCGAAAGATGAGCTAACTTGTGACACTTGACTCCACTTTGTTTTTCAGATCAACGTCCTTCTGAACAGAATCCAACATGCTCAGAAATTGTGAGTCAGCCATATTTGATTCATGCACAGCATTTAGTTACAGAGTCTTTGCAGATAGGAAGCAAAATCACTAATATAGCAGAAAAATAACAGAAGTACGTTTATTTTTAAAACCCTCACTGACAACTGATGGAGTGTGTTGTGTTAGACTCACTTTGCTAGAAAAAACACAAATCCTGACAAGTGACTTTTCAGCACTTGTAGCATCAAAAATGACTTGTTTTAAGAGAAATACATAATCTGGTGAAGAACTAGTCATTTTTCATCAATATTCAGGAATTATTGACTAAAACAAGCTCCTATATCTTGATGAAAAGTTATTTGTAAGTTAGTTTTGTCTTATTTCAAGTGTACTAAGATTTTTGCACTAGACACTAAACCAAAAATACTTGGTAAGATTTTGGTTTTTGCAGTGTTGTGATCTGATTTACTGCTTCTCTTGTCTTATTGCAGTAAGAAAAACCATGGGAAGGGGAAGGTTGGAGGCCGATGGAAGTGAGGTTTCCCACATTTGCACAGTGGAAAATAAGGAGAAGATTTTTTCCCAGCTTGAGATTTAGCTGTAGTAATTTTCTTGTGTTCAGCTCTTCCAGTTTAATTGCCCATTTAGTTAATAAAACACATGCTTCAATTAAACAGTGGTTTTTTTTGTTGTTCATATAAACTGAATTAGCAACTTTAATTTTCTGCAAATAAATTAACAACAATAAACAGTTTGAAAAAGTTCTGGATAGTTTAAAATCCATTGAGGCTGAAAAATCAAATACTTCCCAAATATAAACTTATTCTACCATTTTAGAAAGAATTGGAATAAACATAACAATGAAAATTATCTGGAAAATGTTTTTATTTTTCATTTATAACCTAACATTAGCATGTGACAAGTTAATGTGAACAAAAGTTTTGAGAAAAAGAAGTAGAAGTAAGAAAAATCTTATATAATCTACTTCTTCTCTCAAAAAGCTAATTTAATAAAACATGAGGAAAACTTTATGTTGTTGCAGCAGAAGCAGCTTGCAGATCTGTGCTGAAGAAAAACCGTCTTCACTTCTTCTGCTGAACGAAAACGGCGTGGACGCCATCACTGGCGCCCTCACACCAGGGTTCAAATCCTGCCTTTAGCGCCAAATTCGCCACCGTCTCTGCAAAGCCCGCTTCCTGCTCCTTGTTCAGGTCCAAAATGTACCTAAAAAGCACACACACACACGCATGCATGCACAGTTATGTTTTTATGTCTTGCGAGGACTTCACATTGACTTCCATTAATTTTCTGCAGCCTAACCCTAACTCTAACCCCAACATCACACACTTAACCCATACTCAAATAAAAAGTCAATTCACACTTTAGCCCTAACACTATCCCCTAACCCACAAACAGCATTTCCCAAGAAAATGTCCCCACAAGGAGCAGTGGTCCCCACAACCCTGCATTGTAGACACAAATAGGTCCCCACAATGATATAAAAACCGAGTTCACACACACGCGCGCACACACCCACACAAACGCAACTTAAATACAAACACTGCAACCACACACAGTGTTAGTTAATAAGCAAAATGAAGCACCACGACTACAGAGCCCCACTGTACTCTTGGTGACAATGCAGTTGTCATGGTAACAAGCCATGTTACTATAAAAACCCTCACTTGGCCAGCTCCACGACAAGCACAGCGTCTGGTGCAGCAATCTGTCCCATCATGGGGTCCAACTGGTGGACGCAGCTTTACAAACAGAGAGACAGAAACCTGCTCAGCAGCCATATCCATAGTTCAGGATGACACAAAATAAATCTTCTGTTGTTGTTTACTGATGCTTACCTGGCAGAGAAGTAAACAGAGTTGAAGTATTTGCTGTATTTCTGCTTCTGCGGCAGCTTTTGAAGAGAATCTAAAGGCAGAAATGTGACAGAGACGCCGCTGAGGTGCATTAAATCTGAAGAGGAGTAAAAGAAAATTTATTGAGTCGGTTTGCATTAATAAAACGAATGGAATAAAGACGATGACAACATAAGATTATAAAACAATTCTTCTACATGTACATTCTGACATGTTTCAGATATCTCTGTTGCTTCAGTTATAATTTGACGTTTTACCATTAAGTGATTTTTGCTGACTCAGTGTGGGCGCTTCCTCCGCCTCTGTGTCTGTATGAGAAGCAGTGAGACGGCGCCGCCTGCTGGACAGGGACCGGAACAACTCCTGCAGGTTTGCAAAAGAGATATCCTGGGCCGTCTATGGAGGCGATAAGAGGAAAAAATGATAAATAAAAAAGACTGTAGTCTTCTTCAGAATGTGAGCACCTTCAATATAAGCTGGAAAAAAAATTATAAATGGTTTGCAAACTTTTATGAATTAAATTTTAAAACGTGAAACCATATTTCACTGTAATTATAACTGTGAGTTGGCTTTCAAATATGTATTTACTTCTTATTCCAGTAAAAGAAATGAAAGCCTCCAAAGTGACCAAATGTGAAGTGTTTGACAGGCAATATTTGCAGCCATATTTTACATTGAGGTGTTGCCCATTCTGTGTTTTCAGCAGCTTCTTGTCGTCACTTTCAATACCAAAAGAAAGATAAGGGCTGGAAACGATGTCTCCCCAGTAGCCTCGAATGCCAAGTTTGTCTCCTTTCTGCTGAGGCAAAAACAAAGATTTAGATTGTTTATTTAATTTCAGAGCTCTTTAGTCCACCAAAAACAAATATGCACAAACCTTATTAAAAACTCTTGTGGAGAGTAAAGTGGGGTTGGTTGTTTGGTAGATACCTTCCCTCATTTCGAACGCCAAACCCTTTCCTCTCCATTGCACATACTGCTGTTTGCTGATGACTCCACACTGCTTAGAGAAAAACCAGGAAGAGTTCATCACTGTAAAAACTCAAAATATTATCAAGTATTTCTAGTCTAGTTTCTTTACAGCAAGATACAGAAGCTTGTTTTAGTCAACAATTCCTTAATTTTGATGAGAAAATACTGCTGACATTGACAGATTGTTACACTTATAACATGGGAAATGTCTTGTTATACGTAAAAATGATCTTCTAGTGGAACTAGTGCTGCTACTTTTATCAATATTAAGGAATTATTGACTTAAAACAAGCTCATATTTTTTTGCTGAAAAGTTATTTGTAAGTTAATTAAGTCTTATTTAAAGTGTAATAAGATGTTTGCACAAGAAGTATACTTGATAGGATTTTGTGTTTTTGCAGTGATGTAGGCAATCTCAACATTAAAATACAGAAAAATAACCAGTTACGTTTTCTTTTTCTTTTGGCAACATAAACAATAAAGTGTAAAAATTCTCCATCACCCCTTTCTCATGCAGCTTCATGGTGAGGTCCCAGTCGAAACATCCCTTCTTGGAGTCGTAGCGGGTACCGAGATGCTGCCTGACCCGATAATCCCAGGCTTTGGACATGATGACCGGAGAAGTTTGCTGGATCCACAGCTTGAATATCCTGGCTAGCTCATCCCGCTCCTTGAACTGGAAAAACATTCAGTTTTAGTGGTTTTACTGGAAATAAGAGATCAATAGTTGCACAGTTCACCTTCAGGAGTGTTGTGTTCAGGCAGGCGTTCATGGGGTCCTCCATTGTTTCAGTGACAGAGAGAATGAGTTGTGATGCGGCTCGCCGCAGCGTCTCTTCTGTCTGACTGCGGATTTCCGTGTTTCCAAAAAGCTCCAAGAAAACTTCAGTCCTCTCTGAAAACAAAACATTTTAGAGCTCCGTGGCTTTAATAAAATGATAAACTCGTCATCAAAGCAGCTCTCACCGTTGATTCCCATCTTTTCCTGTGACGTCAGCGTAACGTAGAGGAGCAGCAGCTGCCGAGCCACAACATCCATGCTGCTTTCAATCACCCACATCTGCAGAACAGAGAACATGTGTGGCTCCTGCTGCGCGGATCTGTGCAGATATCTGTGTTTAATGTAGGAGTTTAAGGGAATAAACTGCAAAAACACAAAATCTTACCAAGCATGTTTGTCTACTTTCTAGAGAAAATATTTTAGTTCACTTGAAATGAGACAAAACTAACTTTTCAGCAAGAAATAGGAGCTTGTTTTAAGTAAATAAGTAATTAAGTAATATTTCCACTGGTAGATTACTTCACTTAAACATTTTGTTATAAGGAATTTTTAAGTAATTATTGACTTAAAAAAAAGCTCCTACTTCTTGCTGAAAAGTCACTTGTAACTTCCTTTTGTCTTATTTGAAATGCACTAAGATAGCTGCATGTGAAACTAGACCAAAATACTTGGTAAGATTTTGTGTTTTTGCACTGAATGGCTCACATGAAGGTTTTGCTCGACTGGAGAATCCATAATAGTCTTCAGAATATGTCTGGGATCCCCGCTGCCAACCAGCAGCACATTCATTTCTCCATCAGATTTCACAGGGCCTGGATAGACGGCCAGAACATGAGTTTACACATTATAAGATATTCATTTAAGACATATATTTCAAATTTTAGCATTTTAGGGGGTACAATAGTGGTAGCACCAGATTTAATTCAGGATAATTGTTTATAAATAGAATATTAGATTAGATCAATTCAATCAATTTATAATTCAAAATATGGGCCTAATGGAAAGCAGGCCCATATTTCAATGCTAAATTAAAGGTTGTTGTTTTCAAATATTAATATAAAACAGTCAAAGAAACTTGTGTTTGTCACAATAACAATCAACATCTATTACTAATATATTGTCTTACTTTATTTTTTGTAATATCTATAGGATTAACAAATGTTTTTTCTGTTATTTTTATTATTAACTTTTATTTCTGAATGATACCTTAACGCTTGTTGATTTGAGACCCTTTATGAGGTGTAGAACCACACATTGGGAACCACTCCACTACACGGCGCCCAGTAGAATAATCCCGTTATGAATACCCATAATTCTTTTCGTTTATTAGATAAAAATGCTTCTCACCCAAACTGAGCAGATTCCGGGCTGGACTGAAGCCCCACCAGGAGACCCAGCCCGCTCCTTCAGACACCCGACCTGCACTCATCCTAACAGAAACATGGGAACCATCAACCTGCAGCTGGGTTTCACGTCGACGCTGAAACAAGGTAGCGACAGCCGAGACGCAACTTCGATCATGCTAACGGTATGTAGAATAAACAAGCTAATTAATGTAATATCGTTAGAGTCTTGTCTGTCAAAGGATTATAAAGTATTGGTGGTAAGGACTCACCTCAGTAACAGATCTGGAACATCCGGGGAAATGTTTGAGTTTGGTTGCTAGGTAACGGTCTCAAACTTAGTGAGGATTATGGAGCTAAATTGGTGTCCATTAACTTGCAAAGTTTGTATAAATAAATAAATAAATAAATAAATAAATAAATAAATAAATAAATAAATAAATAAATAAATAAAAAACGAAAAAAATTGAAAGTGAAAATAATTTTGGAACAACAAAGTGAATGTTTATTCAGGTCATATATTTAAATTCAAATCCCTTTTAATTAAATTTTTTTTTCAATTTAATTTCTTTTCTTTCAGTTTCAACATTTTTTGTTCAGTTTCAAATAATAATTATTATGTTTGTTTATTTATTTATTTACTTTTTTTTTAAGAACAAACTTTATAGCCCTAATTTAACTCCAGGAAAATTAGATGGCAACTC